TTCTAAACCCAAATCTGGGACAGACACTGTGGTGCAGCTAGAGCAGGCATCACGGTGCAGCAGGCTAAGCCACTGCTCGAGGCACCCACATCCGACATCGGAGTGCCAGTTCGAGTCTCGGCACCTCCGATTCCAACCCAGCTTCTTGCTAATGCACACCCTGGGAGGCAGCAGAGGATGGCTCGAGTTCTCGGGCTCCTCCCTCTCACGGGAAACCCATGTGGAGCTCCTGGCTTCTGCAGTCAGCCTGGCCCGGCCTGGCTGTCACAGGCATTTGGGGGAGTAAAGCAGCAGACGGAACCTCTCTGTCTCTCTTCCACTCCTGTTCTGCCTTTCAAGTAGATAAAAAATGCATATTACTCTAAAAAATTAAACTAAATTTCACCGTATCTTTTCTTTGCTTATAATCCTTCAATCATTCCAAACCCAAGATCCTCTCTGGCTGAGCCTCTCCCTGCTTCTCTGGCTTTGGTTCTGACCACTCTTGCCCCCATTTTCTTTTTAAAGATTTTGTTTATTTATTTGAGAGGTAGATTTACAGACAATGCAAAGAAGAGACAGAGAGAAGGGTCTTCCATCTGCTGGTTCACTCCCCAAATGGTTGCAATGGCCAGGGCTGAGCTAATCCAAAGCCAGGAGTTTCTTCCCGGTCTCCCACGTGGGTGCAGGGGCCCAAGGACTTGGGCCAACCTCTACTGCTTTCCCAGGCCACAGCAGAGAGCTGGATCAGAAAAGGAGCAGCTGGCACTAAACCGGCGCCCATATGAGATGCTGACACGACAGGAAGACAACTAACCTACTGTGCCACAGCACTGGCCCCCTGCCCGCATTTTGTAAGCAAGATTTGGCTACCTGGAGCTCCTACACACGCACTCTGTCAGCCGAGGCTCCTGAGACTGAGTCTGTCTACACACTCATCCGCCCTTGGAAACCATGCATCACCTCGCCTGCTCTCTTCCCTTCACAGTCCTCCACCTGCCGTGGAACCCAGCACTCCTTCCTCTGTGTTCTTCCCAAACCTCACAGACAACTGCACTACAACACACACCCACCGGGCTCCATCTGGAGCTGCACTGGGGGCAGAGACCGGCCTTCACTTTTTACTTTGCACACCACACACGGAGCCTAGTGCCCACACATTCAATCACTTGCCTCTGTTGGGGCCCAGCGAGCCCCCCTCTGAGGAAACGTGAATCGCCTGACTCCGCCTCCCCTTCCCCCAGGAAGGCTCAAGGTCTGACTCCCAAGCCCTACAGTCTCCCCTCCATAAGGCCGTAAACTGCAGTCCTCACATTTATTTTAGCTTTTCCTGGGCGTGGCTCAGAGACATCTGTGGGAAGAAACCTCCCACCCATGGTTCTGCCTGTCTGTCCACACACATCTGTCCTCCCTCATTCATCCATGCCACAAACAACCAGAGTTCTTACTTTTTCAACTGAAGACCCAGCCCAAACCCTTCCTTATTCGATGGCTGGAAAACCTCAATCGATGGCTCTGCAAAGAGAAGAGAAAGTTCCAAGTACATACACACCTCTGTCTTCCCAAGTCCAATGCCGCACTTCAGTGGAACAGCTTCCTTAGATCGAGAACAGTGGCTGTGAGGTACTCCTCACACTAAGAGGTGGAGGAGGGGAATGGCTGAGGCAAGGCAGATTCGGAAAGCTGTCTGCCAATTGCAAACTCTCTCAGCAGGAAGCTGAGAGCAGAGAGAGGACTAAATGGTGTCTGGGGACAGAGAAAACAATTTCATGAAAGAGGCAGGCATTCAGCAGGTGGAGGTAACTACACACAGACGCCACAGACAGGAGACTCAACAGCCCCTACCAATGGCCGGCAGAGTGAGTCCAAGGACCCTGTTCCTACTTTTTCTCCACCTCAGTTAACTTAGGATTTTGGATTAGATCACACTCAGAGAGCACCACTTGTCTTCACCTGGTCCATCAAGGTACTGGGAAAGGGAGAATCGCAGCCTCAATACAATGGGTTCTGTCCGGAGGACCTTCCAGGCCGTGGAGACTTCCTCCTAGAATACAGGAAGTAGTCCCCAGTTTACAACAGAGAGGAATGGACCTGAAGCTTCCCCCAGATGACACACGTGTGTGCGTGTGACACTTCACGCCACTATGATGGTCTAGGACACACAGACGGAGGGTATGTGCTCCAAAAACAGCACCCGGGGACAAGACTCCTGGCCTGCATCTCCAACCCACTGGTCCAGTGGGCCACGCTGCCAAGGGCCAGCAGCACTTACATCGAGGAAGCTGGCGTTGATGTGGAGGTCAATGTCCACGTCATCGATGGTCCCATATTCTCTACAGAGGCAGAGGGGCCACGTGAGAGTCATGCAGGGAGGAAGAAAGCACCAGAGACTGAGACGGAGGCAGGGGCAGAGCTCGGCCCCGGGACGCGGGACAGGGGAGGGTGGAAGGCAGCTCTGTGTCCAGGGTCCCAGCTGCAGCTGCAGGCAGCTTACCCAAGAGCAGGTCCTTCTCCAGGCCAGGGGCCCTCCTACCTCTGTGCACAAGGACGAAAGCCCTGCATCTAATTTTGCCCCTCCCCGTGTGGTTGAGCTGAGAGCATTCTTTCTCAAAAGCTCCTGTCCGACTTCCCCCTCCCCTGAATTCTTCCTCACAAGCAGCGTAACCCTGCCAACAGCCCCTGAACCTGCTAGACCACTACCCTACAGCCCACCCACCCCAGCCTGGGAGGGAGGGGCTGCTCTCCACCTTCTCCGGTAGTGAGACCCTCTCCCAGTTTTGAATACACCTGTGCTGGCTGTGAGTTTGTGGTCTGCCTCTTCTTTACCTTGTTTTGCCTCTTCGTTTTTGGTCTTACGTCGTTACAACCTCAATGTGAAATTATCGGCCTACAGAAGTCTAGGATAGGAAAGGACTTCTAAGAAAGTGGCCTCAATTCCCTCCTTGCTCCTGTCTGCCAAGCTGAAGTATTGCAACCAAATTCTATCACTGAGTTCCTAACTTCTCCTTCCAGGACACAAGGAAACACGCAGAGAGCAGCGGGCTGTCACCTGATGGACACCGAGTTCTCACTGTAGAGCTCCTTCACGGCTTCAATGTCTGCATCCAGCTGCGGGTGTCGGTACAGGTCAGCTGCACAGCTCCCCTGGGATGGCAGAATTGGTAGAGAACAGAGAGGAGATGAAGATTCAAAGAATGGGAAGAGACAAACCAGAACAGGAGAAATGCAAAAGCAGCAATACGGGGAGGTGAGAGCCACTTCTAGGAAGGGTTCTGTGTGGGGCGCCCTGGTGAGGAGTCCACCACAGACAAGCCTCCCTCCCGCTACCTGAGCAGACCACGGTGGCCTTGGCGCGGCCGTTCTCCCACTCAGGGTCCTGATGAGGATGCTCAGGGACACGTCCTATGAGAACTCGCATCACGTGCTAACTCAGACTGGGCCTCCACTGGGGCACTTCCACTCAGGCCTGAGCCCCACAGAGCGACGCTGTTACATGATCCCTCACTAAGCAATCTTTGGAGAGGTGGCCCCAATAAACAAAAGGAGGAGCCACAAGACCATGACTCTAATCAAGAACTCGAGGGCAGCTTCCACGTAGAGGACGAGATTCACTCTGGGCCAGGCCTTAGCTGACAGCACCAAGGCTCCATCTCGTCTCAGCTCTGCTCTAGAACCGCCCAGACGGCGGCACACACAGCCTCACCTGAACTCCATAGAGAAACTCTTCTGACTCATTGTCGCCCTCCGAGTCGTCATCATTCCAGAACTGGCCTTTGATGTCCTAGTGATGAGAGTTAAGGACACAGTCTGTCGGGCACCTGTCACCCCCCAGGATGGGGTGGGGTCAAACAAGCTCCCACAGAGGATGGGTAAAGGTCTTGGGATAGACTGACGAGGCCATACTCCCTGCAGACCCCTTCACTGCCACCTTGGGCGTTTCAATCTCCTGACCCCGCCCAGGCGCACGGCAGAACTGCGGGCGGACTCCTTAGGCCTTCCTGTGGAGCCGAGGCTGTGGCAGCCGGCAGGGAAGGATGCCGGAGACCTCCCTGTGCAGGGTCATTCTAAGCGCCTCTGGGCTCTGGTACACGCTGCCTCTGCCAGGACCGCCACCTACGAAGGCTTCCACGTACACCCTGCTTCTCTTGTCTCACCACAACTCTTCCCCTTCCTTCAAGAAAGCCCATGAGCCCAGGGCCCACCCCTGAAGCAATACTGTTCCCATGCCTCTTCCTCCTTTCACTTCAAATGGCCACACTACCTCTCCAAGGCTAGAAGGCAAAATGCCAGGAAAAAACTTGGTTCTCACCATTGGGTCAGTGGGTCACACACACTCCCAGGTCAGTGCTCGGCAGCACCCCTCCATGCCACCAGTCGAAGCCAGGCCAACAAGATGGGCATTTAGGAAGCCACAGAGCGGGACGAGGCGTGATGTTAGGGGCAACTGGAGATCTGGAGATGGCGGGCTATGTGGCTGAGTGTAACCAATCACTGTCCTGTGGAGAGTAGACAACATCTGGTTTCTTCACAGCCGGGTGGTGTCCACACAGGCTCTCACAGTGATGCACACACTTCTACTACAGCCACACACATCACAGCCGGGTGGTGTCCACACAGGCTCTCACAGTGATGCACACACTTCTACTACAGCCACACACATCACAGCCGGGTGGTGTCCACACAGGCTCTCACAGTGATGCACACACTTCTACTACAGCCACACACATCACAGCTGGGTGATGTCCACACAGGCTCTCACAGTGATGCACACACTTCTACTACAGCCACACACATCACAGCCGGGTGGTGTCCACACAGGCTCTCACAGTGATGCACACACTTCTACTACAGCCACACACATCACAGCCGGGTGATGTCCACACAGGCTCTCACAGTGATGCACACACTTCTACTACAGCCACACATCACAGCCGGGTGGTGTCCACACAGGCTCTCACAGTGATGCACACACTTCTACTACAGTCACACACATCACAGCCGGGGTGATGTCCACACAGGCTCTCACAGTGATGCACACACTTCTACTACAGTCACACACATCACAGCCGGGTGATGTCCACACAGGCTCTCACAGTGATGCACACACTTCTACTACAGTCACACACATCACAGCCGGGTGATGTCCACACAGGCTCTCACAGTGATGCACACACTTCTACTACAGCCACACACATCACAGCAGGGTGATGTCCACACAGGCTCTCACAGTGATGCACACACTTCTACTACAGTCACACACATCACAGCCGGGTGATGTCCACACAGGCTCTCACAGTGATGCACACACTTCTACTACAGTCACACACATCACAGCCGGGTGGTGTCCACACAGGCTCTCACAGTTATGTACACACTTTACTACAGCCACACATCACAGCCAGGTGGTGTCCACACAGGCTCTCACAGTGATGCACACACTTCTACTACAGCCACACACATCACAGCTGGGTGATGTCCACACAGGCTCTCACAGTGATGCACACACTTCTACTACAGCCACACACATCACAGCCAGGTGATGTCCACACAGGCTCTCACAGTGATGCACACACTTCTACTACAGCCACACACATCACAGCTGGGTGATGTCCACACAGGCTCTCACAGTGATGCACACACTTCTACTACAGTCACACACATCACAGCCGGGTGGTGTCCACACAGGCTCTCACAGTGATGCACACACTTCTACTACAGTCACACACATCACAGCTGGGTGATGTCCACACAGGCTCTCACAGTGATGCACACACTTCTACTACAGTCACACACATCACAGCCGGGTGATGTCCACACAGGCTCTCACAGTGATGCACACACTTCTACTACAGCCACACACATCACAGCTGGGTGATGTCCACACAGGCTCTCACAGTGATGCACACACTTCTACTACAGCCACACACATCACAGCTGGGTGATGTCCACACAGGCTCTCACAGTGATGCACACACTTCTACTACAGTCACACACATCACAGCCGGGTGATGTCCACACAGGCTCTCACAGTGATGCACACACTTCTACTACAGTCACACACATCACAGCCGGGTGGTGTCCACACAGGCTCTCACAGTTATGTACACACTTTACTACAGCCACACATCACAGCCGGGTGGTGTCCACACAGGCTCTCACAGTGATGCACACACTTCTACTACAGCCACACACATCACAGCAGGGGTGATGTCCACACAGGCTCTCACAGTGATGCACACACTTCTACTACAGCCACACACATCACAGCTGGGTGATGTCCACACAGGCTCTCACAGTGATGCACACACTTCTACTACAGCCACACACATCACAGCCAGGTGATGTCCACACAGGCTCTCACAGTGATGCACACACTTCTACTACAGCCACACACATCACAGCTGGGTGATGTCCACACAGGCTCTCACAGTGATGCACACACTTCTACTACAGTCACACACATCACAGCCGGGTGATGTCCACACAGGCTCTCACAGTGATGCACACACTTCTACTACAGTCACACACATCACAGCCGGGTGGTGTCCACACAGGCTCTCACAGTGATGCACACACTTCTACTACAGCCACACACATCACAGCCGGGTGATGTCCACACAGGCTCTCACAGTGATGCACACACTTCTACTACAGTCACACACATCACAGCCGGGTGATGTCCACACAGGCTCTCACAGTGATGCACACACTTCTACTACAGTCACACACATCACAGCCGGGTGGTGTCCACACAGGCTCTCACAGTTATGTACACACTTTACTACAGCCACACATCACAGCCGGGTGGTGTCCACACAGGCTCTCACAGTGATGCACACACTTCTACTACAGCCACACACATCACAGCTGGGTGATGTCCACACAGGCTCTCACAGTGATGCACACACTTCTACTACAGCCACACACATCACAGCCAGGTGATGTCCACACAGGCTCTCACAGTGATGCACACACTTCTACTACAGCCACACACATCACAGCTGGGTGATGTCCACACAGGCTCTCACAGTGATGCACACACTTCTACTACAGTCACACACATCACAGCCGGGTGGTGTCCACACAGGCTCTCACAGTGATGCACACACTTCTACTACAGTCACACACATCACAGCTGGGTGATGTCCACACAGGCTCTCACAGTGATGCACACACTTCTACTACAGTCACACACATCACAGCCGGGTGATGTCCACACAGGCTCTCACAGTGATGCACACACTTCTACTACAGCCACACACATCACAGCTGGGTGATGTCCACACAGGCTCTCACAGTGATGCACACACTTCTACTACAGCCACACACATCACAGCTGGGTGATGTCCACACAGGCTCTCACAGTGATGCACACACTTCTACTACAGTCACACACATCACAGCCGGGTGATGTCCACACAGGCTCTCACAGTGATGCACACACTTCTACTACAGTCACACACATCACAGCCGGGTGGTGTCCACACAGGCTCTCACAGTTATGTACACACTTTACTACAGCCACACATCACAGCCGGGTGGTGTCCACACAGGCTCTCACAGTGATGCACACACTTCTACTACAGCCACACACATCACAGCAGGGTGATGTCCACACAGGCTCTCACAGTGATGCACACACTTCTACTACAGCCACACACATCACAGCTGGGTGATGTCCACACAGGCTCTCACAGTGATGCACACACTTCTACTACAGCCACACACATCACAGCCAGGTGATGTCCACACAGGCTCTCACAGTGATGCACACACTTCTACTACAGCCACACACATCACAGCTGGGTGATGTCCACACAGGCTCTCACAGTGATGCACACACTTCTACTACAGTCACACACATCACAGCCGGGTGATGTCCACACAGGCTCTCACAGTGATGCACACACTTCTACTACAGTCACACACATCACAGCCGGGTGGTGTCCACACAGGCTCTCACAGTGATGCACACACTTCTACTACAGCCACACACATCACAGCCGGGTGATGTCCACACAGGCTCTCACAGTGATGCACACACTTCTACTACAGTCACACACATCACAGCCGGGTGATGTCCACACAGGCTCTCACAGTGATGCACACACTTCTACTACAGCCACACACATCACAGCCGGGTGATGTCCACACAGGCTCTCACAGTGATGCACACACTTCTACTACAGTCACACACATCACAGCCGGGTGGTGTCCACACAGGCTCTCACAGTGATGCACACACTTCTACTACAGCCACACACATCACAGCCGGGTGATGTCCACACAGGCTCTCACAGTGATGCACACACTTCTACTACAGCCACACACATCACAGCAGGGTGGTGTCCACACAGGCTCTCACAGTGATGCACACACTTTACTACAGTCACACACATCACAGCTGGGTGGTATCCACACAGGCTCTCACAGTGATGCACACACTTTTACTACAGTCACATCACAGCTGGGTGGTGTCCACACAGGCCCTCACAGTGATGCACACACTTTTACTACAGTCACACACATCACAGCTGGGTGTTGTCCACACAGGCCCTCACAGTGATGCACACACTTTTACTACAGTCACACACATCACAGCTGGGTGTTGTCCACACAGGCCCTCACAGTGATGCACACACTTTTACTACAGTCACACACATCACAGCTGGGTGGTGTCCACACAGTGATGCATACACTTTTACTACACAATATACACATCATAGCTGGGTTATGTCCACACAGGCACAATGATGGTTTCACTTTTACTACACAGTCACACACGTCACAGCTGGGTGGTGTTCACACAGGCACACACAGTGATAAATATACTTTTACTACAGTCACATACATCATAGCTGGGTGGTGTCCACCCAGAAACACACAGTGATAGATATACTTTTACTACAGAGTCACACACATCATAGCTGGGTGTGTCCACACAGGCACTCACAATATTGGATTCACTTATCTACACAGTCACACACATCACAGTTGGTTGGCATATATCCAGGCACACAAAGTGATGCACATGCTTTCCTATAGTCACATACCTCGTAGCCAGGCAGTGTACACTCAGGCACTCACCATGATGCACACACCTTCACTACACTCACACATTTCATAGCTGGGTGGTGTCACTCACAAGGATGCAAACACTTCTACTACAGTTACTCACATCATATCTGGGTGATATACACATAGACACAATGAAGCACACACTTTTACTATAGTTACACACATCACTGCTGGGTGGTAGACACACAGGCACTCACCATGATGCACACACTTTTACTACACAGTCACACATTTCATAGCTGGGTGGTGTACACACAGGCACTCACCATGATGCACACACTTTTACTACAGAGTTACAAACACCACAGCTGTGCTATGCACACACAGGCACAATGCTGAATACACTTTACAATACAGTTACACACACAGTAGCTGGGTGGGGTATACACAGGCACACACAACTTTGGGTTCACTCTTCTACACAGCTATATGGATGCTGGTACGTAAAGAGACATACTTGCATGCACTATATCACACCTGCACATGCAGTTCTTCAACGAACCACAACAGCACATCACAAGTGTAAGATACTGCCACTTCATTCCAGCTCGACGGCTGGGATTAAACAAGCCCCCGCTCTAGTTCATCACTGTGCAACAATCATGCAGCCAAACACAATGATCTGCTACTCCGTTCATTCTGGAACATTCTTCACAGGAGCAACCTCAACCACAGTGAAGAACTAAAATTCTTTCTGGCCTTTTTACTTGTTATTTCCCTATACTGAGCCGTTATCTGTTTTTAACACAGATATTACTAGAAGCCATTATGTGACAATCATGGCGACTTAAGTCTCTGACAACACGCAGTGTCCTCTAGTAGACGTGGTCTGAACTGTCATGGCCAGCGATGCCCTGGAGTCATCCTGGAATCTCCCCCTCCAATAAATGCTCAGAAAAACACTAACCCCGGCCCTTCCAGCTTCCCTGTGTGCTTCTACTCTTGGGGCCCCCAAATCTATACTGGCAACTTTTTGCCCCACTGTAGTTTCCACAGGTGGCAGGGTGGGGTGCATCAAACTACGCGGGCCTTCAAGGCAGGGGCTGGCAAAGCTCCCAGAGAGCAAGCTTGCCAAGTTTTCTGCTGCTCTCCAGATCAGCAGGTCACAAGTGTGGCTGCTTACCTCCAACACCTGGGCAGCTTTTCTCACACACACCGGCAAACAACCCCATCCTGGGACCCGTGGGCTCAACTTCATGGAGATGGAGCCTAAGATTTCAATTAGCTAGAAGCTCGCCAGCTGACTCTACTGTAAAGCCAAAATTAACAACCAGAGCCCCAGCCTTCCTGGCCCTGCACAGCAATCAAGCCTAACCCACTCCAAGCTCAGACGGAAGAGCTCACGGTCTCTAACACAGTCCTAGTGCCCTTAGCTTTCTAGATCAGGGGTTCTCAGTTAGAGGACTTCCACTTGACAGCAAAAGCAGGGAACAGCTGAGGTTCCAAGCAACTGAGACTCGCTTTAAAACACTAACTGGCTCCCCCTCCACCCAAACAAGGGGGGGCAGATTAAATTAAACAGGGCAAAATGTTGCTACCAAAGGAGTGGCGTGACATGTAAATGAGGGTTTCCTCACAATCCTAATGTTTGTAATTGGGACAAACTCACAATAAAAAGTTAAAAAAAAAAAAAAAAAAAAAAACAAAACAGAAGCTACTCTTGCAGGGGCTCTTCCTAGAACGTATTACCGGGGGATCACCAGTGGCTCCACGCCTTAAACACACCTCGCACGCTCTGCCGGATCTCTGGCCTGCCCCTGCCCCTTCCCGGGTGGGAACACTCTCCCGCAGCTCGGCCACACCCCGCGCACCTCTCCCGCAGCTTGGCCACACCACGCGCACCCACGCTAGCTCCTCCTCCCACCCGCCTTGACTACTCCCACGGGGGGGCCACCGCATTCCCACTCACGGTTCACCTTCCGGCACAACGGAAGCTCCGTGGTGGCAGGACTCTGACACTTTGCACGGTCTCTAGTCTCAGCCCCTTGGCTGGACACCAAAGCTTCCACACCAGCGCCTACATGCTGTCACACAGACACAACCAGGCCAGGCTGGTCTGTCAACGCAGACTTCATTCACCTCCGAGAGCAGCTGAGAAACAGCACACGCAGACCTCGGGGTCGGGCTTGTGAGACAAACACGCGGGTGCTGACCCGGTCGGCCGACCCCGGAGGAGTGAAGAGGGAGGCACGAATGTCCGCCGCGTGGCTTGGGGCCAGCTAGGCCGGGAGTTCCAGCAATGTCAAGGTCTCTGACTCCGCAGAGGTCAACAGACACTTAGCATCTGTCCAAGGGCTGTTGTTGCTTGGTCCCTGCTGCCATCACAAGGAGAGAAAAGCGAGTTCAGAGGGAGGTTTTCCCGTCCGGGAACAGACAGTTGAGATCACCCGTTGTTTCAAATGTCCTGGGGAAAGGGGCCTGCCTTCCCTACTCCCAGCGCGCTTTCCTGACGTGGGTGGGGACCTCCTCTCCGCCAAGGGCCATCGGGATACTTACAACGTCATGCACTGGTCATGCAAAATTATCTAAGTTAGCCTGCTTTAGATTTACTGAACGTCAAGTGCCTTGGCAGGGCCACACCACATGATCTCCTGAGCCATACACACGGCCCGGCTGCACATCCCCGCGCTGGCCAGCACTGGGGAAAGGCGGGCAAATTCAGAGAATCACAGACATTTTAAAGAAAAAGCCAAGGGAGGGCTGGCCGGAAGCTCTCACGTTGTGTATGCTAGACTGGGCCTAGGGAGGTTGGCACCGAGGGGCACTTGGGAGGCCCTGGCTCGGTCACCTCCCCGGGACGGGGTTCTAACTTTGGAGGGAGCTGTCAGTGATCTAAGCAGCAAAGACCTAGGTGGTTGCTCCCGATGAGGCAAAGAGGGTACGCTTTTGAGAAGCGGGGCCGGAGCGCCCAGAGCCGCTGGCATGAGGCTCAGCGTCTCGCGGGACGCCTGATGAGTTTCCCCTGGGAGGGGGATTAAAAAAAAAAAAAAAAAGACCGAATGCAAATAAGCCTCGAGTGCGGATCGCAAAGGTCTCGCCCTCGGCCCACGGCCGCTCCTCGCTGTGACACCTGCCGTGCGAAGCAGCCCGCGAGCTCCACGTTAAACTGAGGGCGGACTCCCAGCCGCGCGGTCCTGGGCCAAGGACGCGGCCCCGCGGCCCGCGGCCCGCGGCCCGCGGCCCCCGGCCCCCGGCCCCGAGCTCGGAGTCGCGGAGGCAAAGGGCGGGCCCGAGGCCGCTCCCCCCGGGACTCCTCCGGAGACCCCGCTGACTCCTGCACCTGCCGCCCGGGGAAGCGGCGGCGCCTATCCGCGGGCCAGCCTGGCAGGGCCCCTCGCGCCGTCCGCCCGCCCGCCCGGGCCAAGCCCTCCCTGGAAGCGCCTCGGCCCAGGCAGCGCGGCCCCGCACCCTTCCCGCGGCCCGGCCGCCCCGCCCCGCCCCGTCCCCGCGGCGGCCGCCCCGCAGGCCTGCGTCGCGAGTACTCACGGCGACCCCGGGCCGCGCGCGGCCGCCGCCGAGGGGACGAGCGGCCCGGGACGCCCCGCGGGGGCGGAGCGGCAGGCCGAGGGGCGGGGGCCGGGCGGGCGGGCGAGGGCGCGCACCCCACGCCTGGCGCTCCGTCACGGGCGCGCTGCGCCACTCTGCGCACGCGCGCGCGGCCCCCCGTGGCCACGTGGGCGGCTCCGGACCAATCCCCGTGCGGCCTGTGCCCGGGCGCGCCTCTGCCTGCGACCGCAGCCCTGGCGCGCCTGCGCGGTGGTGGTTGGTTGGGAGGGGCGCGGAGCTTGGGGTGACGCCTGCGCCGTGGGTCGAGAAAGAAGAGGGGCTCTGGGCTGGGGGTGGGCCGCGGGGAGGCACTCGGAGAGAGAGAGTATGAGCACTTGGCGCCCCGTGTGGCGGGGAGGAGTGAGCAGGGACGGCGACGCTCTGCGGACCCCAGGGGCCTCGGATTTTCGGAGTCAGACACTTCGGGGCCTTCTCCCC